ATATGCAATTCTGAAAATAAATAAATAAATAAATAAATAAATAAATAAAAAGGAAAAGGGAAAACATCAAACTAATATTGATCCAGGGACTCGATTCATGCAATTCAATCCTTTAATGGAGGTATAGAGAATCAGCAAGGTCATGTTTGCAACTCATTCTATGGCAGGAAATAAAACATTAACAGCTGTTTTCTCACTTAATCAATATAACTCCAAAGCAGAGTACGAGGAAAACATAACATATCAAACCTTTCTGAAGCACAAGCACGTGTTTTGTCTGACGGTGTCTAAGTTCATGTTTAGGTTGTCATCCAACACAAAGAATACATACTCATTGTGACAAAGGGACAAAAACAAACAAACAAACAAACCCCACAAACTGGTATACTAATTCACTGACAGTTTCAGCTATTAGGATGTACCCTTTAGCATTAATCTTGAGGCAGATCTTAAGAGGTAGTTAAAATATTTGTCCTTTGTTTCCTGAAGGTGTTGTAAATTTGTTGGTAACACCAACAGCCGCGAGATAACAATACTTTAGGATTCACCTCGTGGGACCTGAAAGATGTCTTTTCAAGGGTCGGTAACATTTAGCAAACTTAAATGTCAAAAAGCTGAGCGGTGTGATGAAGTGAGCATCAGTGACTGAATAAAGGTCACACATCATGCACACGCAGAGGCTGATCACAAGCAAACGACTCGGTGATCCCAAATGAATGTGTACCAAGCACACACTGCACTGCTTTATGATTGAGAGCAGCATTACCTGGGAAAGACGAGTTTGCCGGGCAAGGAGAGGCGGGGTACGTCACGGCCCATCCCCGGCCCCAAATGGAGCTTCCTGGACAGGACATCTATGGGATTTTCAGCAGGCTGAGTGGCTACTTTGACCATCACATTACTATTGAAGATGTATGCTGAGAAAAACACCTGGAAAGAAAGAGAGCCGGCTGTTAATACTTATCAGGCTTCACCACAACCCAAAGTGACTGTTGCGACTTTTCTCATAAAACTCAAAACACAATGTTTATGGCATGAAAAGCAAGAAAATCCCACTTAAAAGAAGATGGCTGCAGCCAGTTTGATATTAAGTAACACGGAAATTCCACAGCAGGGACGGCTTATAAATTTGTCAATGCCCAAGTTTTGATAAGAGGCACCATCAGTATTTATGCACTTTTAATTCACTCTGACAGAGCAACTCATAACAGCTCTTTAATAAAGACAAAGCTACCGGTCTCAGGAGATTATGTCTGACTACTGTGTGTTTGCATTATGTGCTCTTCAGTCATAGCTGACAGGGCAGACTCTTCAAGAGCGTGTGCTCACTTTGATGTATTTAATGGAAATTCTACTGAATGCCATAAATGAAATGTATATGGCACTCAGCTTTCCTTACCCTTTTACCCATGTGAATTTAAAATTTCTATAAATCTGAAGGAAAGCGGCATGTTTGTTTGCAAAGCTGCTGCTGTACTGCTTTCCGATTCTGGTGCTTATGGCATTTGTCAAATTCAAAGGCAACTGACTTGGCTTTAAATTAGGGTAACACTCAATACTGGTGTAAAAATGTCTGTACTTAGCGCAAAATACAATTGACCATTTTTAAGCACTTTTCAAAATGCTGGTTGTTCTGGGAAAAGCAAACGGCTTCATCAGTGGACAGCAGACATGCACATTTAACCCATTCCTTAGTGCTTTACAAAATAAAATCAACAAAAAATTTTATTTTGTAAAAAAAAAAAAAAAAAAAAAAAAAAAAAAAATCATAGGGCTGTCATCAAGTTAATTTTGAATTCTTCCTGAACATGAACTGGGGGCTGGAGCCTATCCCAGCTACTACAGGGCGAGAGGCGGGGTACAGGTCACCAGCTCTTTGCAGGGCTAACACATAGAGACAGACAACCAGTCACACTTACATGGGCAATTTAGATTCACCAGTTTGCCTAAATAGCCTCACCTTTAGACTATGGGAGGAAGCCGGAGTATCTGGAGAGAACCCATGCAAACAGGGGGAGAACATGCAAACTCCACACAGAGAGGCTTCGAACAGGTGGTTGAATTGAACTCATGACCTTCTTGCTGTGAAGCAACAGTGCTAATCACCGTGCCACTGTGCTGCCACAATCTCAGATATTGACCGATATTTTTCTTCCAGGTAGACGAAACAAACAGATTTCATAACATGGATGAAGGTTGTTTTTTCTGTCCCTTCCTTTTCATTTAAAGCCATATACTGACAGATTGAAACATTTTTAATAGTGGTCCTCCAATAAACTGGCCAGGTTCTCTTCTTATATATACACCGAATGTCACCCAAGTATACAACTACGTCCATAAGTATTTCGATCATAAGACACTTGTTTGTAAGTTCTGTCTTTGCATACCAGAGGTGTAGTTTAATAAGTTTTAATTCAAGAGATTTTAATAAGTGCTGCATCGTCTGTTTAGGAATCACTGCCAGTTTCATACACATATATATATTTTTATGTATATATGTCTTGACTCTTTTTCTCATTGCTGAAGCCACAACTGCAGATGTCTTTGATAGACAACTGTCTAATATAAAATATGGATGCAGCTACCGGGTCAGAAAAATGAAGCCAGTGCAGACGTGGGAAGTGTCTTAATCCTGGAATCTATCTGAAGGCGACTAGATAGTGATGGCTATAATTTCAAAAAGACTTCTGGTCCTATAGAGGTCTAAGGGAAAAAACTGCTTTCTGACTTTATGCCTGTATACACCTTCCTTGAGCTGAAGGGCTCAGTCAATCATTTCGGGTAATTTTGAACACGAAAATAAATAATTAAGAAAATTAAGCCTGTTATGTAAATCTTCGTCGTGGCTTGTTTCAACATAGAGGAATTTCTGTGGTATGAATCACAAGTCAATAGAAAATGAGCATGTGGCTTCACAGTCAGACTTGTCCTTGTCACTTTTGTGGGGGGTTTTTTACAATTAAGGAAGCGAGAGAGCAGAAATGCTCAACCTGAGGCTTCACAATCAGGACTTCAGAAATGAATGGGTGGCGTTATGACGGCACACTTTTAAAACAGTCTCTGCCATTATTAAAGTTGTTGTTCTGCTCTGGAGATCTGCTGTGAGCTGGAGGACAACATGAACCCACAGCAGGTAAAGGGCTGCTGCTGTGATGCTGTAGCTCATCTAGGTTGCTGAGCAGAACGAGTGGTCTAAGACAGTGGCGCTGAAGACCATCCACGAGATGAACTTACTGCAGAGACAGCTAAACATCGCTCTATTATTTATAGACACAAAACGTAAACCTTTTGTGCATGTAAACACAGATACACAACTATTTTTTTGTGTCTTAAAATATATTTTTTTCCTCTGTTTTGAGCAGCTCTAAGCAGTACTCAACACACTACCTACAAAATGGAAGAACTGTTTAACTGACCAGACATGGGGCTGTTGAAAGATGTGTAGCATTGTAAAATTAGAGGATATTAAACAAAGAAGAGAGACATACCAAAAGTCTGCCATAAAATGCTAGCAAGACTTAGATGCTTAAATGTCTTAGTGAATTAGTGATCTAGTGTTTCCTGGACTAGCACCCTCTGTAGCAAGATCACCTTCATGATTCATTTAACATGTTAATTCGATCAGTTTTGCTTTCTGCCAAATGAATTTTTAATTTTTCATGATTTATTTAATTTCTGCACAGCAGTCAATGCAATCAAGTTCTCCCCCAAACTCAATACTGTTCAATGTAAAGTGCCTCACTTAATCAGCAATGACAGACACCGGCCTGCAGGTTTGAGGAATAAATACAAAGCCTTTCATAATCGTGAATCATCATGTTTGTTTGTTTTTTGTTTATAAACAGAAATTTTCTCTTTGAATGTGTGCTTCATATATCGCAGTCTGTTTGCTGCGTCTCATGGAAGCTGCTTGTATGTGTTGCAGGTTTAATTTGGGTTGGGAGCATCTCTTACCCAGAAAACATCATAAATGAGCAGTCCTGACAGCAGCAGGCAAGACACCTTCAAACTGGGAAGTCGCACAAACGCTATCATGGCGACGCACAAGCCCATGGCTAAAGCTGAAAGGAGAGGACAACATATAATTTCACATTTTCAAAAGAAATGAATGAAAACATCAACACGATAAAGCTGTTCAAATTATTTTCCTACTTGAAATTGATTTTCTCAGGGCTGCATAACTGAAGATGAATACCAACATATACCTTTATATTGAGCTGGGAGTCTGTCATTACCTTTTTCAAAGTCCAGCGAACTGGAATGCCAGTTCATGGGTTAGTCATGTGGGTAAAATATAGAACCAATGACTAATATTTAGCATGTACTTTTCCACCATTAGGAGAAGTACTTCTTTTAAAACTATGAATCATTACAAGCTGAAGATGTTAAAATGCTTACTTTTAGCATGCTGTGTAGCAGGGCATGTTAAAACAACACCAAATCACACATTGCAGTTACATTTCTGAAACCTGACTACTTTGTGTTTAAATTTCATTGCTGCGGCTCTTATCTGTGGATTCTCATTCTGTTTGTAGTATGAACTGAAGCAACATTCATACAAAAGTTAAGGCAGAGCAACGTACCGTCCATGAGAAGCCAGTGTCCAGTCAGCACCCAGATGAGCACCAGCATAACAGAGAGTGAGAAAGACAGGAGCTCAGCCAGAGTGAAGCGCCCACAGCAACCAAACGAAATCCTGCAATGAGACAAAAAGACACAGAAGTGACCCACTTAAATCTCACAGAGCACTTTGGGGTAAAATGCAGTGCACAAAAACTTTTACAGGTGGATATATTTCTTAACTGAGGATCTGCTGCATATCGACTACTGTACAAAGAACTTATGTTTGAGACAACTGATGTTTGGATGAGTGAGAGTGGAAGGTAAGCCTGTAAACTGCTTTACAGATCAAGTTAACAGTAGTTATTTTGGTAAATAGCATGCAGGTGTCCATCTTTCAGCTAGGAGTTTTCCCTGGGGTGTGGCGCTGGCAGAGAAACCATTACATTGTGTGGGTTGTAGGGTGGAGCCTCAGTGGTTCAGGCTTGCTCTGGGGCATTCAGCTGATGCTTTGATGGGAGGGTGATGTCAGGAATTTTTGTCAAATGGCATGTGGAAAGCCGTTGCCATCATGACCATACTTTATTAAGTCTAAAGGGATTCTGGGTAGGTATGGAATTGTTTTGGGTGAGAGAAGCAGACAAAGATTTACTGAAAACTAGATATGGGGATTTGAATGTTTAAACAAAGTCGTTTTTATTTAAAGCAGTTTTTTCCGTGTCAGTTTATTGAGCAGATGAGCTCTCCTGGTGACTCTGTGTGAACTCCCCGGTGGAATAGAAGAGTTGATTATTCTAGATGTCTTAATCTAGAGACTATGCTGAACTTTTAAATGGAAATTATATGGAGCAAGGCAATGCAAGAGAATTTATTGAATTTTTACTACCTCCAAACATTCAAAATAAATTTCCCAGTGGTATTGAGCTTTGCATCTAGTTTCCGTTCTACTCTGTGAAATTAATGCAAAGCATTTCCATCACACCAGGAACAGCTGAGAGGACAAGGACATTTGATAAGCAGTAGTAAAAGACCTTTTTGAATACTTTGTGGAAGAAACGCAAAACACCACAGAGCAATTGAGCAGGAGCCAGAAAGACTATGAAACATGATTTTCTTACTTGTTCTGTGGGGAGCAGGGTCTGGTCAGATACTGGCACATTGGCAACAAAAGGAATGCAAATGCAATTGTTGCAAGAACTGAGGAGAGGAACAAAACACAGCAGTTAAATCCAAAGCCCAGTTCACCTCCGCTGCTTGTTCCAGTGGTTCCTGTCAGTTTAATGGGGCAGCTAATGTCTTCAGTTATAATAATCAATGCAGTAAAGATGTTTCCCCAGTGCGTAATTACACAACACTAACATAAAAGCTTTATAATAACTCCACAGCTTATTTTTTGTGGTATGTTCAAGACTGGTAGTTACCTGCAGTGCAGATGGTGAAGACCACCTGTACAGAGTCGAAGAAGAAAAACATGACTAGCAGAGACACTGAGGCTCCTATGGGCAGAAACAGGGCCTGTGTGGAGTCTATAGTCTGAATGCCTGAAAAGGAATTCAAACATTAATGTAAGATGGATTAAAATGCACAAAACAGAAATGGATATTATATATGACTTTAAAAACAACGGTACGAGCAGAGAATTTAATCATTCATAAGTTATTACCTGAAAATCCAAGAAAACGTTTAGCATGCACAGTTCAACTTTGCCCTGTATGTAATACTTACTGTTGTTTGTATTGTTGTTATTGAATGACCCCGTTGTTGAAGGGTTTCCATCCTTATCCTTGTCCTGGTTCTCACAATCCATGTTTAATGACCTGCACAAGGAAGGGAAAGAAAACCTATGTGTGATTTTGGCTTCCACAATTAGCTCCTCAAAGCATGTACATTAGTATGAGGTGAAGGGAGGTGAAAACGCAATCTCTGCAAATCAGATCTCATTGTGGATGCTCTAGCAGCTCAATTTCAGGGTCTTTTGCATGATAAGCACCTTGCAAAAGACCCTCACATTTAGCATGCAAGCTTTTAATTTTATTTCTTCATTTACTAGGCATAGGTTTTGTTTTTTGTTTTTTAAATATTTGGTTTCTACATAAGCTGTGTATCTATTAAAGCAAAAAAGACAAGAGACCTGTACTGCCAAAAATGCATATTTTAATATTTCTTTGTCACATGTCAAACAGATAATCAATACTGAGTTTCTTTATATTGTGCAGGCCAAGTCTGCATACACAGGTCCAGTCTGATGACTTGCTAATAAAGAGTGTGGGCAGAAGAGTGTAAAGCTTGTGCCTGAAAAAGCACATCTTTTCTTTGAGTCAGAATGCCTGACTCACAAATCCCGTGACTGGAAACCTTGAGTTCAAAAAAATTTAATCCTTAAACATTAGCAAATTTAAACTTGATGCATGTTTTGAATTAATTATGCTTATCTACAGTAGCTTTTTTAAGTCATACTTTGATACCAATTTTCCATTCTGGTACTATAAGCCATACTACCAGAAGAGGGTGCAAACTGAAAATGTGGAGAAGCAGTGGAAATTACGTATGGATGCATGTTTATCTAAACAATTATAAGCAGACTTTATACCATTTATTGTTACACAGATAGAAAAATGCTCACTGGATATCTTTGAAAACTCGTTGCCTTCTCTAACCATCTTTTTTGCATTCTTTAACATCTATGGCACTTTTCATGTTAATAAAGTACAAGATTACTGTCACACTAGAGAGGCTGGGATCCTACAGTTCAAACCAGATTTGATTCAAAGACAAAACGAAAGTTTTAAAGACCAACAACACAGTAACCAAAAATAAAAAATCCTGATATCAGTTACTTAAAGGTGCCACTTGTGTTTGTAGTTGGGCTGAGGTTCTTTAGATAGTCTCGTCAACAGCTGCAACAAGCTGATCTGAGATGCATGAGTAAGTCAAACTTGCTAATGTAAACCATCTTTTCAAACACACATGAAAATGTGGGAAATTCCAAAGTTTGGGAACATCAGTTACCACCAAGTCGCATTTCAAACACTTCCTACACAAAAACGTATCTTGCCTCGGAGATCCTGCAAAAATAGTTTGAGGCCACTTATCACTTACAGTGGGATGCAAAAGTTTGGGCAACCTTAATAGTCATTATTTTCCTGTATAAATCATTGGTTGCTTCTGTAAATCCAATAAACTTTGTTTCACTTCTCAAATATCACTGTGTGTGTCTCCTATATCATATATTTAACTGACATTTTTTATCGTAAAAAATTGTATCACTTTTTGTTTCTAATTAAGATTTCACCTTAGCCAAGTTGGAATTTTTTTACATTTTGATTTATTTTTGTCATCGCTGCCAGAGATTTATACTGTGCAAAATCAAATGGCATGCCTCCCAACAGCAGCCGCCTCAGACTAGAATGAGCAGAGTGCAATAAGTTAATAATAATTAACTAACTAAATTTTGTTTGATGCTTTGCAAGCTGCTGTGCTTGCTGGAGTGATGGCTGAGTGGCAGTTTCATGGTATAATCACAGCTATATGAATGTTTAGTGTTTCAACCTTTTTTCAGTACCACAAAGTGTATAAAACATTTTAAGGTCATAAAAAGAGACAGAGACTCCCATAAGAGGCGTTCTCTGTTGTTTTTGGTTAGCTGTGATGCCCTATTTTAAGGAAAAAGTCCTTAAAAGTTAAAAGTCAGGCTAGCATTTCCATAGCAGAGCTGTGAACTAAGACTTTAAAACAAACTTATGTGGCACAAACTATCCTGTTATCAGGAAGAACACTCGATTGCCTCAAGTAACATGTTTCTGTGCCTTAGCTGGTTTCCTGATACTTTGTGTAAAGAAGCTGCCTGAGACACAACCACAGTGAAAGTTCAGCACAATTTTTTTTTTCTTTTTTTAAATTGAACAAAGTCAGACAGTAGACGAGTGCTGTATGTTTTTGACATATTCCTGGTCTCTTTGTGTAATGCAATGATGGACTCCATGTCGGATGTTAATGATGTCAGGTTACCTAGCTAGTAAATATTACCCAGCATGTGTGTAGCTTTGCAAATGTGCAGTTATTAGAGTTAAACTGTTTATTGTTCACAGATTATAGTGTGACTTATTGATTTCTATCATATAATTAGAAGTGTGAATAAGGCACCGGGCACACAGGAGCTAGAGTAGGATGTCTCGAGACCACTTTTACGTGGTCTTGGTCTTGTCTTGGTCTCGGATCCCTCGGTCTTGTCTTGGTCTCGCTCTCTCTGTCTTGCTGTCTCAGATCAACATAGTGGTTGGGAGATTTGGAGTCAACAGTATCCATGACACACAACGCAACGTTCGATAATCTGTCATGCGCAAAAGCATCAGCTCTAAGAGCCGTGCATAGAGAGTGCTTTGTAGTGAATCAGAGTCGACTCCCATTGAGCGAGAGCCGGCTCCTCAATTTCCTTTCACTGCTCAGCTCTCACACAGTGGCTCAGCTATGGTCCAATCCCTCCATATTGTGGCCAATCACATGCAAAGATATAGGATAATATCATTATGTGGAAAACAGAGGGTGAGAGACACGACAGTCAAGTGGAGCTTGTGTCTGTCCTCTCAGTAAGTGAGTGAGACAGTAGACAGCGGTGAGGAGGGCTGTGCAAGTGCATTGCAAAAACACATAAATATGCCTGACACCCATAAACGAAGCAGCATCTGGCTGCAGTTTAAAGACTTTTTTGTCTCGGTCTCGTTTCGACTTTGTCTTGGTCTTGATACCCTCTGGTCTTGGTTACAAGTCTAACAGGAGCCCATTCCCCCACCCCCAGGCAACCACGGCTCTCTAGGGAAACATTAATATTCCCTGTGTGGTTGTGAGTAGTTGCTGGAGGTTGCTTGTTGTCACTAGGTAAATTTGGTCACAAAGGGTTACACAGTGCTAACTGAAAACCTTTGATTGCTTTGGTCACATAAAGACTGCCGCAGTCAACAGTAAAGCCCCTCAGGTACCCAGTATGGAGACAAATTTAGACTACGTGAAAATTCATAGGGACTGTTTTGTGGGCTGACTGGTAAAACACTGTGAAAATGTTATCATCATTTTGATCATTAATTAAATTATGTCCAGTTTTAATGATAGATTACACCTGTTATTACTGGGATGGGAGAAGATAATATATCCATACAGATTAATCACAAAATATAAATTAGAGAGATGTCGTAATTTTGCTGTTTGCTAATCCAAACAATTAAACTAGAACTTGAGCATTTTTACTGACTTGAACACAAACAAAAAAATTTATTAAAAAAAAAACCCAAAAAAAAACCAACCTACATTTTCCTGCTCATCTACTGTAATAGAAACACTAAAAACCCCTTTTGCTATTAACACTCACCTGAAGCTGCCATAGACAATGAGCAGAATGGAAATGAGGAAGGTGGACACCTGACTGGAGTCAACTAGGGAGTACGCCCTATAGAAGAAAGAGAGACATACAAACATTACTTACGGCACAAATGACTACGCATGGACATTTAACAACAACAAAAGCACAACTGTCTCATTATTAACACAAGATTACTGCTATGTAAAAAGTAAGTAAAATTTATTTATATAGCACTTTTTAAGACAAAAACGCTGTTACAAAGTGCTTCACAAGAAGACATGTCAAACAAACAATATAGCAACATAAAGGAAGTATAAAAGCATATCAAACAAGCAATAGTACAATATAAATATAAAATAAATATACTGCTATGTACTGTTGAAGAGCAGAAACACATGAATCTGATAATTAACTGTGCTGCTGTTGATATTTATTTTACCACAGCTTAAGTTTTCAAATTCCTAACACTCAGATGCTGTTGTCAAGTGATTATACTTGATGCTTGTGTGTGTTTATGTTCTGTACTCTCCGGTCACAGCTGTCAGGGCAAAACTCTGGGCTCCATTCACTACATTCAATAGTGAACAGCATATAAAAAAGTATTAAATAGACCAATGCCAGCAACCTCAATGACATCTCACAAACAGAACTGCTAAGAATATGAGGACTATGCGATGAGTTTCAGTGCTATAGCAAAGTGGCTGCTGTTCTGGAGAGCAGTCTCACAACTGTGATGCTGATGGGATTTGTTTAACTAAAAATACAGTGGTGTGGCCTCTAACACTTGGCATTATTAGACTTGATATTTCATCAGTTTAAATGTTTTTTTCAATAAGTGCTAAGACATGCAGCAGCCAGGAAAAGGAGACTGAAAACAAGTGTCACATGCTTCAAAGTATGAGCGAAAAGAAAAGAAAACACCAAAGTCTCTCTTTTTTTAACCACAAAGGTTAACAACAAAAGTCAGGATGATGCAGCAGGAGACAACAATGTGGAGGAGTTAACTCGAGTGAAAAAGAGTTTAGGTACTGCTTTTGCTGTAAAAATAAATCAAACCTTTGTGGTGAAATGCTTCTGCTAGAATCCATATAAATAATAAAGATGTGGTTCGATGACCATTTTTTCCAAGGGTAGCCGCATAAGCAGAGACCACCTTCACTAACAGCCCTGAAACATTACTGAAACTGCTCCTCTAAGGCTTTCAAGGGGTAAAGAGTTAACATTTTTTATTTTGTTGTGTAAAACAGAGTGTCAGTGGGCACTTAAAAGTTCAGAAAATGTTTGAATGTCTTTAACTATTAAATTTATTCATTGCGCCAAATCCAGCTGCTCATTAAGCCTTTCTGGTTTGATCAGAAAAGAAAACAGTGGTCCATACACCTGAAAGTCCTGAAAACACATTGTGAATTCTGTCTTGAGTCTACGGATGTATCCATGTATTTCCACAGTGCTGTTGCTGCGCCGAGCACATTTGAAGTGTCGGAATGTGGAAATTTCAACATCGCTTGAAAAGGTGCCAGCTAGCAACGTCCCTCTCACCGGTAGGCTAAGTTATCTTTAGCCAACTACAAGTTGAATCTGGTAGTTGGAGTTGTCAGCTAAAATACCATCATTAAGAAGCGGCACAACTAATGTGTGCGATGTGCACCGCTGGCCCAGCCATTTATTTTTTAATGCACCTTCTCAGATTAATTCACTGCGTGTCGTGCCCAGGGCTGGACTGGGACAAAAAAAAAAAAAAAAAAAAAAAAAAAAAAAAAAAAAAAATCGGCCCGGGCATTTTGACTAAAGACTGGCCCACCAGGTATTATAGGAAAAGCCATAAAGCCTTTAAATGAAAACGAACGCTGTTGTGACAGTGATGTACAGTCCTGTTGGTATATGTATGATCTCTATACATTTTACATGAGATGAAAACTTTGGTTGTAAGATTCAGATAATTATTTACTTAAAGCCAGACATTTTAAATGAGAATAAGAAAGAAAAGTATTTCTTTGTGCCCCCCTTTCCCTGTCAATGCCCCAGCTGGCCCCCTGGCAAAACTTTGCTAGACCCGCCCCTGCACAGTTACCAGCTGTCAGCTACTTAGAAAAGGATCCTGGTGTTATTTGTCTCTCAGAAACAGTTCACAACTTCCCTTCAACTCATTCATGTCACCTAAAAGGTAAACCTGTTTCTCCATCACTTGTTCAGCTCTGATGATTCAGTAACATCAGGACATCTCCTGGTTTCATCTTCACGTTTCCCTCTCACCAGATAAGCAAACCGATATCATGACCAGCAGCCTTTACAGCTGTGGCTCCAGCAAACATCAGCTGATACTAGAAATGAATATTACCGTAATTGTCGGGCTATAAGCCGCTACTTTTTGCACAAGCTTTGAACCCTGCGGCTTTTAGTCAGGTGTGGCTTTCTATGGATTGTCCATGATTTTTGTCATATCGTAAGAGGATTTGTTTTGTTTGTTCCGCTTTTGTACGGCACTACGTTGCCTGGCGGAAGGATCGGGGTTCAAGAGTGGTATGTTGGTCACATGTCCATCCGCCAGGCAACATAGTGCCGTACGAAGTAGCGGGAAAAACAAACTTCAAAGTAGCGCTACGCGTTCAGCTGGAGGCGTAAATAATGATAGGCGATAAACTTGCGAAAAGCAAGTTATGCTCAACTCCACCAGTGGATTCTGACAGCGTGGAAAAGTGTGAAAACATCCACGATCACCAACGGATTTCGAAGGGCTGGACTGCTGCATGATGGAGAGGAGGACACCGCCACGGCCCTTCCGAGGGTGTTCGACTCTGACACTGACAACGAGGATTTGTTTGGTTTTGAAAGTGACAACGAAGGAGAGAAGCTGAGAGTGGATGACGAAGCCATCATGAGCCTGTTCGTATCCGACACTGGAGAAGAGGACTTTGGTGGTTTTAGTGCACAGGAAGAAGAGAAAGATGGTGGTGAATGACTGACTTTTCTACTTGTTAAAGTCGTGTCACTGCACCTGAGCCTAAAAGGTAGTCCGAATCTATTTTTCTGGTGTGCTATAGGTTACTGTTATGTACTAGCGAATGAGAGAAGAAGATGCAGCTGATAGCGTAAAGACAGAAAAACTCAAGCTTTGTGTCTTTTTCCATTCTAGCTGAAGTCCGGGACAAACTGTTCCTTTTCAGCTCAATACGAAACGCGTAATAATTTCTCTGAATACGGGACGATCCTGTTTTTTTACAGGACAGTTGGCAACTCTGCTAACAAACCTTATGAATAAAATAAAGTTCACTATCAGTAACATCATAGCACCCAGCCAGCTGTATAGAAACTTCATCATGCTAGCTAGTACACAGTACGAGTTATTGTAACTGACTGTAAAAAGTCAGCACAATGAAAATAAACTACACCTAAACTTGGTTTATACCCGACCCAGATAGACTGCAGGTCATAACTTTCTACCTAAAGTTCAGTTCACCTGACACTCGGACCGGCGGCTGCCTCAGGTCTCGCCCTCCTCCTGCCTCCTCTTTCCCTCATCCACCCACTGGCCTCTGTGAGCTCCGCCATAGCCACCACCAAACAACGAACTTATTTTTACACATCGGCCATCATCTGGCCAATCCACCACCTTACATTGTTTATATCGTTACAAAAACAAACAAACAAACAAAAAAAAGAACCATCGGCCCGTAAAAATGAAAAATCACAATCGGCCCATCGCACAAATGCCCGGTATGCCCTATGGCCAATCCAGCTATGGTCGTGCCATCAGTTAACCCTTCGCGTGCCACACGGTTGCCAACCCCTGCTCTAAATGCACCACTCACTCTTATGTCAATCAACGCTATCCCGTACTTTCATTAGTGCCAGCTTTGCTTGTCTTGAAGTTTAGAAAAGTTTAACTTGGGATTTGCCCACTCTTCAGTTTTTTTAATATACTTTTGCTTGTTGCACAAGTTGAATTCTCACTTGATGTGATCTGACAACTAGTACCAAAAGAGAAATTGTTTAAAAGTGATTTTAGCTTTTGTGAGGCTTCCTAGCCTCTCCTTTTTTAGCTAAAGGAGAAGAAAATATTCACTAAAATACAAGCATTACCAAAAAGAAGGGAAAAAAAAACAAACCAAAAAACTATCACACCAGCAAAACAAATAAAGTTATGAAACAAAACATGTTGAGTTGACAAGGATTATTTAGTGAGTCAGGATGCATGTGATTACTGTCAAATTTACTCAAAGTTCAATTATGGAAGAGGAAATATGAGCTTCAGAGCTGGTATATTACAGGGGAAGAAAGTTCAGCCCTTAGATTTGCTAGACTGTGGTGAATTGTGTAAATAAGCCTCTCTCTGAGAATAAAAGGTGGTTTTCCTGCTGGATTCTACTCTGTAATCAATTCACCCATAGAGACATACAAACCATTGGTGATGTCCGAATAAATTATGGCTGTGCTGTTCTTTCCATGGAGTATTATTTTTTAAATCATCATACTCTAAACATAGCAAAAACAGACTCTAGCTGAAAATGGCAATTTGTGTGACTCCTTTCAGACTCTATACCTGACAATGGAAAAATTGGCTGTGGCAATTTTATCACCATGAGACACATTTGTCCCAGCAAAGTAGCACGGCACCAACAGCAACCACAAAAATGATAAACTGAGTGGAGCAAGTTTAATGCTTGGAAATAAAATAATGAAGTCTGCAGACTGTACCAGCAAGTGTAAACTAACTGGGCAGCATGTCCATTCTATACAAAGGTACAGCATTGTGCATTGTGCATACAAAGGGAACTGGGTCAGCAGAGTTCAGTTAACCATCACAGTGGCCTGTTAAAGAATAAGAATAAAACGAACAAAAAAAAAATCCCCGTTTATCACTACATAACCAAACATGCAACAGAACTGGAAAAGAATCTGAATAAATTAATTATGACCACCCTACATCCCACTGAAGCTGCACAATACTGTTGAGCCGCACAACCATGAGCATATGTTCCCCTGAGATGACCGGACCTGATAATGCACACACACCAAAGGAGCGAATGAAACCAATTCGACAGCAGAATCTGAATTGCTAATTTTGCTGCATGTTAAAATGAGAACTC